GGGAGCGAGACCGGATGCTCGACGGGATGAAGCCGTGGAAATAGCTTGGGGAAACTGCGCTGGGAGGGAGCGAGACCGGATGCTCGACGGGATGAAGCCGTGGAAATAGCTGGGGGAAACTTCGCTGGGAGGGAGCGAGACCGGATGCTCGACGGGATGAAGCTGTGGAAATAGCTTGGATAAACTTCGCTGGGAGGGAGCGAGATCGGATGCTCGACGGGATGAAGCCGTGGAAATAGCTTGGGGAAATAGCTTGGGGAAACTTCGCTGGGGGAGCGAGACCGGATGCTCGACGGGATGAAGCCGTGGAAATCGCTTGGGGAAACTTCGCTGGGAGGGAGCGAGACCGGATGCTCGACGGGATGAAGCCGTGGAAATAGCTTGGGGAAATAGCTTGGGGAAACTTCGCTGGGAGGAGCGAGACCGGATGCTCGATGGGATGAAGCCGTGGAAATAGCTTGGGGAAACTTCGCTGGGAGGGAGCGAGACCGGATGCTCGACGGGATGAAGCCGTGGAAATAGCTTGGGGAAATAGCTTGGGGAAATTTTGCTGGGAGGGAGCGAGACCGGATGCTCGACGGGATGAAGCCGTGGAAATCGCTTGGGGAAACTTCGCTGGGAGGGAGCGAGACCGGATGCTGGACGGGATGAAGCCGTGGAAATAGCTTGGAGAACTGCGCTGGGAGGGAGCGGGACCGGATGCTGGACGGGATGAAGCCGTGGAAATAGCTTGGGGAAAACTTCGCTGGGAGGGAGCGAGACCGGATGCTGGACGGGATGAAGCCGTGAAAATAGCTTGGGAAACTTCGCTGGGAGGGAGCGAGACCGGATGCTGGACGATGAAGCTGTGGAAATAGCTTGGGGAAACTTCGCTGGGAGGGAGCGAGACCGGATGCTGGACGGGACAAAACCGTGGAAAATAGCTTGGGGAAACTTCGCTGGGAGGGAGCGAGACCGGATGCTGGACGGGATGAAGCCGTGGAAATAGCTTGGGGAAATAGGGAAACTTCGCTGGGAGGGAGCGAGACCGGATGCTGGACGGGATGAAGCCGTGGAAATAGCTTGGGGAAACTTCGCTGGGAGGGAGCGAGACCGGATGCTCGACGGGATGAAGCCGTGGAAATAGCTTGGGGAAATAGCTTGGGGAAACTGCGCTGGGAGGGAGCGAAACCGGATGCTCGACGGGATGAAGCCGTGGAAATAGCTTCGGGAAATAGCTTGGGGAAACTTCGCTGGGAGGGAGCGAGACCGGATGCTCGACGGGATGAAGCCATGGAAATAGCTTGGGGAAACTTCGCTGGGAGGGAGCGAGACCGGATGCTGGACGGGATGAAGCCGTGGAAATAGCTTGGGGAAACTTCGCTGGGAGGGAGCGAGACCGGATGCTGGACGGGATGAAGCCGTGGAAATAGCTTGGGGAAATAGCTTGGGGAAACTTTGCTGGGAGGGAGCGAGACCGGATGCTCGACGGGATGAAGCCGTGGAAATAGCTTGGGGAAATAGCTTGGGGAAACTTCGCTGGGGGAGCGAGACCGGATGCTCGACGGGATGAAGCCGTGGAAATAGCTTGGGGAAATAGCTTGGGGAAACTTCGCTGGGAGGGAGCGAGACCGGATGCTGGACGGGATGAAGCCGTGGAAAATAGCTTGGGGAAACTTCGCTGGGAGGGAGCGAGACCGGATGCTGGACGGGATGAAGCCGTGGAAATAGCTTGGGGAAACTTCGCTGGGAGGGAGCGAGACCGGATGCTGGACGGGACAAAACCGTGGAAAATAGTTTGGGGAAACTTCGCTGGGAGGGAGCGAGACCGGATGCTGGACGGGATGAAGCCGTGGAAATAGCTTGGGGAAATTCGCTGGGAGGGAGCGAGACCGGATGCTGGACGGGATGAAGCCGTGGAAATAGCTTGGGGAAACTTCGCTGGGAGGGAGCGAGACCGGATGCTGGACGGGATGAAGCCGTGGAAATAGCTTGGGGAAACTTCGCTGGGAGGGAGCGAGACCGGATGCTGGACGGGATGAAGCCGTGGAAATAGCTTGGGGAAACTTCGCTGGGAGGGAGCGAGACCGGATGCTGGACGGGATGAAGCCGTGGAAATAGCTTGGGGAAACTTCGCTGGGAGGGAGCGAGACCGGATGCTGGACGGGATGAAGCCGTGGAAATAGCTTGGGGAAACTTCGCTGGGAGGGAGCGAGACCGGATGCTCGACGGGATGAAGCCGTGGAAATAGCTTGGGGAAACTTCGCTGGGAGGGAGCGAGACCGGATGCTGGACGGGATGAAGCCGTGGAAATAGCTTGGGGAAATTGCGCTGGGAGGGAGCGAGACCGGATGCTGGACGGGACAAAACCGTGGAAATAGCTGGGGAAACTTCGCTGGGAGGGAGCGAGACTGGATGCTGGACGGGATGAAGCCGTGGAAATAGCTTGGGGAAACTTCGCTGGGAGGGAGCGAGACCGGATGCTGGACGGGATGAAGCCGTGGAAATAGCTTGAGGAAACTGCGCTGGGAGGGAGCGAGACCGGATGCTGGACGGGATGAAGCCGTGGAAATAGCTTGGGGAAACTTCGCTGGGAGGGAGCGAGACCGGATGCTGGACGGGATGAAGTCGTGGAAATAGCTTGGGGAAACTTCGCTGGGAGGGAGCGAGACAGTATGCTGGACGGGAAACCGTGGAAAATAGCTTGGGGAAAGTTCGCTGGGAGGGAGCGAGACCGGATGCTGGACGGGATGAAGCCGTGGAAATAGCTTGGGGAAATTGCTGCTGGGAAGGAGCGAGACCGGATGCTGGACGGGATGAAGCCGTGGAAATAGCTTGGGGAAACTTCGCTGGGAGGGAGCGAGACAGCACGCTGGACGGAGAGGAAACCGTGCAAATATAGCTTGCGGAGAGCTTCGCTGGGAGGGAGCGAGACAGCATGCTGGACGGGACACAAAACAGTGGCAATAGCTTGCATTGAGCTTCGCTGGGAAGGAGCGCGACAGCATGCTGGACGGAGAGGAAATAACGTGCAAATAGCGTGTGGAGAGCTTCGCTGGCAGGGAGCGAGACATGCTGGACGGACAGGAAACGTTGGAAATAGCTTGCGGAGAGCTTTGCTGGGAGGAAGCGAGCCAGCATGCGGGACGGAGAGGGAACAGTGCAAATAGCTTGCGGAAAGCTCCGCCGGGAGGGAGCGAGACAGCATGCTGGACGGAGGGGAAACCGTGGAAATAGTTTGGGGAGAGCTTTGCTGGGAGGAAAGCGTGGAAATAGCTTGGGGAGATCTTCGGTGGGAGGGACCGAGACAGCACGGCTTTTGCACACAGAATCTTGTACACACAGACGCGTTCACACACAGGAGGTTTTATACAAACAGAAGACTTTACGGCGCACAGAACTTTTATATACATAGAGCAGCTTTTACGCAGCGAAGCTTGTACACACAGGACAAAGGGGAGCTTTTTTACACAGAAGCTTTTACATAGGGTTTTTTTAATACACAGAAGCTTTTACACACAGAAACCTTTACACACAGAAGCTTTACACACAGAAACTTTTACACACAGAAACTTGTACACACAGAAGCTTTTACACAAGCCTTTACACAATGGAGCTTTTACACACAGACAGGTTTACACAGAGGAGTCTTTACGCACGGAGGCGTTTACACAGGAAAGCTTTTTCACACAGAAGCGTTTACACAGAGTAGTTTTTACGCAGAGAAATCTTTACACAAAGAAATCTTGACACAGAGAAGCTTGCACACACACACACACAGAGGCTTTTACACAGAGAAGCCTTTTACACAGAGCAGCTTTTTCACCGAGGAGCTTTTACCCAGAGGAACTTTTACACAGAGAAGCTTGTACACTCAGAGGCTTTGACACAGAGAAGTCTTTTACACAGAGAAGTTTTTGCACACAGAAGTTTTACACAAACAAAATCTTAACACAGAGGAGCTTTTACATACAGAAGCATTTATGCAAAGAATCTTTTGTACAGAGAAGTCTTTACCCATTTTTCATCATGTCTCATTTTTCACTATCGTTCACCACCTATCACCTTCATATCTTCGTTTTCATGCTCTTTTGGTCAGCTCCCTCCGTCGTTTAGTTTTCATTTTGCACGGTGTTCTGTCCGTCGACGCTTCGTCCTCGCTCCCTCTGCGGCGAAGCAAACTAAACGAGAACGCAGGAATTATAGCGGCTAAAAAGATGGGATAGAGTTTAATTACATTAGCAGAAATAGCGACTAGAAGAATGTAGACGTAGCTGACACAGCATGCTGTGGTGAATTGCGGCCCCTGATACCATCAGCGCGCACGATGTTTCAGTAAAGATCTTACGTCGATTTCGTGCAGAGCACACACCACAAGATTTTCAAAAAAATCGTGCTGTGTGCCGTCTTGCTTTTGGGTTCTCTGGCCCACCTTGTTTTTGGGGGGGAGGGAGGTTGGGGGCTGCAAGCATGCAGAGACCTTGCGCGTTATTCTAAGACCTGGGATTTTTCTTCTCTTTTTGATCTTGAGTGACAATGCCGCGCAGGGGGGTTGCCTGTATTTCTTCTGGCGAAAATGTGTGTTACCACTAGCATTTTGCATGTTTGTCGCGGGATAATTTTTCTCATCAATAGGATTGCATTTACAGGGTCCGCAAAACTAGCTTCTGAAAGCATGCCAAATGTTCGTATCCGATTTGAATTTGTATGCTGACCTCTTTGATTTCATGATGAGAGAGCTTTCCAGTGTAATTAATCTAATTTGCCAAGCAACCTTCACCAACCCCAACTTCAATGTAACATCCGTGGCGTGTGCAAATCAACACCGACGTTATTACCCTCCCACCCCACCCCAATCTAACCGTCCACGCATCATTTGTGGTGTGTGCACAGTGTGCAAGTTGTGACTAAACGTCAACAAAACTCTGCCGGTATCTACCTGCGTGCATGGTTTTAGTCGGGGGATCGTTTGTCTTGGAAATCAGCTGCCGCGGACTGAGCTTTATTCTCGGTATGGCTGTATGGCCCAGCAACCCATACAGCCCCCTGCAGCTCAGGGCTGGGCCTATGAGCTGCTCTACATTCCCTTCATCCTGCCCTTCGTCGTTGCGGGCTGTGCACCTTTACTCGTTTTCCGCAGGGAGCTTGAGCACTCATTCAGCGAGATTGTGCATGCAGTCCTGATGCGCATCAAGGGTCCGGCTATTGCGTTGAGCGGCGCTTTGATGCTGGTTGAGCTCTTGCGCACATCCGATCACTTGAAAGACGCACCAGCCACGATCATTGGAACTCGCCTGTCGGAGACATTGAGCCACGCCTTTGTGGCTCTTTCTTTTCCGCTGGGTGCTCTGGGCTCTTTCTTTTCAGGATCAACGACCGTCTCGAACCTCACCTTCACACAAGTTCAAAAGGTGGCGGCTGAGAAATTAGGCCAGGGATGTGCAGGGATTGCTCGAGACGAAGATGACATAAGATGACAAAGCATGTTGCAGCATTTGCAAGAGAAACATAGGTGTCTGTAGTGGAGGAAGCAATATCCGGATGTTGGTGGCTGAAATGACCCGGTGAATACATGTGAATACACATTATGCTTTGGATTGTGATTCAAGGCTTGCAAGAGAGCAAGAAGCAAGGAACTTGATGTTCATTGATGTCCATTGATGTCCACTGATGTTCAATCAAACTTTTTCCTTCGCCTTGGAGATGCGACTGTGTGCCCTGGCAGGTTTGACCTCGAATGCACTCATTGCCTTGCAGCTCTGTGGGGCATCCAGTGGCAACGCCTTCTGCCTGTCCAACATCATTGCAGCCACCGCGGTCATCGGCTTGCACATCCCCGAGGGCATCATTGTGAAGCGAGTCTTGAAGCCTGTTCCTCTTGGCTTTGCACATTCAAATGTCATGAATTTTGCAGCTGAGACTCCACACATGATTACATTAAGAATCATTAAGAGATACATTAAGATACATTAAGTGCGTGCATATTTGGTATTGCTTGGTCAACTCAACACTCCCAGGCACTCCCGGGCATGCTTACTAGATTCGCATTTTTTTGGGAGAGAGTGCCAACAATCAGCCAAGAGCAAGTTGGAAGTCGGAACAAACTCCAAATTAAATCTATTTTGCTGCCCTAGCAAACAGCAAACAACCAGATTGAATCACTTCTTTTATGATTTTTCTTTATTCTTTGTTCGGCTTCTAGCCTGTCAGTGCTGAGGTTTTTGCCCAGTACTTGATTTGCACCCTTGTGTTGCTGCCCTTCATCTATGCTTGAAGCTCTCGAGACGCAACTGAACCCCCACGGTGACTGCACCAGTGCCACACTTCATCACTTCATCGAAGAAAAAAAGTTGGCAAAGTAGAGCAATGTGGAGCCCAGCTCCTGGTCCATCCGTGTGTATTTGGCAAATTCCTGTGTAACCATTGCACAGGAGCCGTTTTTGAACTTTCAATCACTTACCAATCCCAAGAGAGCCAGCAGGAAACATAGAGCTTGTCCTCCGTTCTTGGTAGTGAGACAAGCAAGACTCACAAAAATAATAACAATTAAATTGTACTGTTAAAGTTATACTTGTGACAGTATGTTGCAAGCCTTTGCATTCTTTCTGTTTGATGGTCCATCTTTGTGCATTGTTGCTGGCTCTCCAATTTGGAGGCTACGACTCCAGTATTGAGGGCACCATTTTCGTTTCAGATGCATGTTTTGGTGGTCCTGGGTGAAATCTGCGCCGAATGAATCATGTGTATCTCGTGCTCCGCCCATTTGTTTGTGGTCAATCTCCATCGAAGGAGTTGCGCTTTTTTTAAGGCCATCTCACAGATCCTCACCCAGCGGCTGCCGCCCTCCCTTTCAAGACCATGTCATACGAAGTCCGTCCGCATTGGGAGGAAACATCTAGACAACGTTTCGCTTAAGACTGCAGAGCAGATCTCTTGAAGCCAAGTGTGGGAACTATCGCTGAATGCGAGTTTGAGCCACACTGGTCTGATGGGCATCCCCAATGCCAATAGGACGAGATGCCAGTGAACAAAATGGCGCCGATGAATGCCTGCACGGCCTGTGCGGGATTGTGCGTAACATTGCTGGAACATGCTGGAACACAAATGACATGAGTTAGGAAATGCAGATGCTCTAAAGCGCAAGTCCAGGTCCGTCACCAGCAAATTTTTGAATGGACATGTATGCTTGATTTCTCCAAGGCAAGCACGCAGATGATGCGCCGGTTGTTTGCCATACTTTGTCTGCCTTGGCAGTTGCAGCTCAGTTTGTGCCTGTTACTGGACGGAATTAATTCAAGGATATTCAAGGGAATCTAAGGGCGGTAAATTGAAACCAGAGCTCCAAATCAATGTGGTCAGGCTAGGTGCAACCACTGTATCTTGGACCCCGACGGCAGACTTCTGAAAGTCGGCAAAAGTTTTCCTGCTGTAGAATTCGGTAGCTCAGAGAGGCACTGAAGGTAACAAGGTCAGTGAAGGTCAGCTTGCACCTGTGGGCGTTTCCCTCAAGACATCCAAAAAACATATTGAAGACTAGCCGGTTGCAGGCCATGCCAGAGCAACAGCATATAACAAAATGAAGCCTCGATGGCATGTGCCGGGTGTGAACAGGTCCGGCGGGCCTTAGCTCATCCAGAACTACCACACACGCTGACCTTATTTGATCAGATCTTTCGTGTGGCTGAGGCGCTGAAGGGCAACTTAGGGCAGATAGTGATAGGTAAAGGGCTGCAGCACACTTCAAAATCGATCTCCTGGATTTTGGCATGTTAGCTTTTTCTCACCTCTCTCGCTTTCTCGCAGGTGGATAGCACAGGAACAGGAACTTGCAAGCCCAAGCCACCCAAAATACTACCCTGTGGACATGGATGCAACATGATATCAACATGATATTATAATCAATGATATTGATATAATGTATTGGCCACGAGAGACAGTACAATGATCATACGTAAACAGGCATACGGTACTTGCGAGGACAAAGCATTACCTAAGATTTTTCTAAGATACAAACGTGCTCTTCATGGCCGCTGTGAAGGCACATGTGTCCACAACACCAGATGTACTTAGCTGGGCTTGCTTAGCAGCTGGTGCCCTGTCGGAGTGTGAGCACGAGGAAAGTCAGGAGCGACCTGTACAGTTGGGTAGTTGGCCCAAACTATGAACTGTGAATAGCCATGAATTATCCATACTCACCCATAATTAAGACTTGAGGATCTTGAGAATACTTGAGGCATATCTGGCATATCTATTCTGCAAAGGGGATTTTGAGGCCTCCCCCGAGTTGGAAGTACCGGCAAAGGCAGGCCTCCATCAGAATACATCATTGAGTGTGAGGCGCGACGGTGACACGAGTTGCCAGGGTTAGAGGACCACCCGGTCTTCTGGGGTTCAGCAGGAGATCATGCGCAAGGCCATGGATATGGAGTTGCTTCAGGCGTTGGTCACAAAGCTGCAGTCCACATTTTACACCTCGGTGGATATGGATTTCTGCAACTCTTTGATCTCTGATGCGGCCCAGAGCGACTTAGCAGATTTATAGAGACAGCCACTCATGCTCAAACGCGCATAGGATCGTAAAGCAAAATGGTGTTTGTAAAGTCATTTTTTCATTTAATTTTCAGCTCTGTGGTGTCTTGAGGTGATTTGTCAGATCCAGCTATCTTGACAGCTAACGGCGAGATTATCAAAAAACCACCCAGACGTGTTTCTGGGCCAAGCTTTCAGGTTTTCTCATGTTTTCTCTGTGTCGTTTGCCAGAGCAAGCAATTCCCATAGTGAGTCTCTTTTCAGTTCCAGAAGCGCCTTCAGGCTGACACCCAGCTGGAGCCATCCAAGAGTTTCCATGCTGAAACAGTAGCGGTGCTTCCAGCACCTAGCAAGGTTCAAGGTGATTGGCATGATCCTTTGGAGCCTGGATGGCACCCAGATGTGCACAGAAATGGGTGTCCACATGTGTCCACTATATCCACTGCATCCCACTGCCTACTTCGTAAATTTACCTCCACGTGGAGTATGAAACATGGGAGTGTAAACGCAATGACAATGCCAAATGAAAAAGGATCTGTGGGAGAGAGGGGCATAGATGAGCTTTCCTGCTGTAGGGACGCAGGCACTATGTGAGACATGCATTGGGAATATGTTTTACTGACGTAGTCAAGTAGGTTCGGCTATGTAGAAATGGATAAACTTGTTACTCTTCTCGATTTGTGCCCTTCCAGCTCCTCCCACAGCACGAACCTTCGGCCTTTCTGCCAAGTTGCGTCCTTGAGTCTCAAAGGGGCAGCTATGGACAGCTGCATGAATGGATATGCAAATTGGTGCAAATTGAAAGTTGACATGTCAATGCATCATGCTTATGACAAGTCATGGAAACAATGGGTGACATCAGCACTCCCCCATTGAAAATTCGTAAGGATTTTTCAATCCGTGGCGCAAACTACCCCTCTCGTTCTCGGCACGTTTGACAGAACGGGGTCAATTTTCCTTCTCTGATCCATGGGCATCGTTCATCTGAGTGTGCTGCGGTGCCAGTTACAGAAAGATAGAGTGAAGTCCCTGGTGGTGGCCTTCCCCTCGTTTGCAAGGCAACCCTTCTGCAAACCTGACACCATTTGAATGGTCGGGGCTGTCCGACTCGTGGACCTTGTAGATGCCTGCAGGATCGATCACTGTGGTATACCACACCATACGTTGTTCGAAGAACGTTGAATCGCAGTCCTTCTGCATCGTTCTCCTCCACTTCTTCGATGATCACTGGTGGTAGCGGAGTCTGTCGAATTTCTCTCCACATTTCTGCTTCTTCTTGGATGATTCTGATCAGCTCTTCTTCAATTCGAGCTTCCATGCTTCCAGCAGCCGGGCTCGGCCCACCCGAGGAGCTTGATGTCTCTCCATCGGGGACAGGGAGGCGGACTGGATTTCCTTGATCCAACCCCATCTCAACCCGTCGGGTGGTGTTTTCCTCTTCCACCCGGACCGAAGGAGGGAGGCGGACCAAGGGCTCAGATGAGCCGCTCGACCCCTGCTCACCCCCTGTGCCACGGACTGCTTCTCGGGCTCGTTGTTGAACCCCTGTTTGATCTCCTTGTGCAGGGAGACTTCGGTCGGCTCCTTCAGATTGATCATTGATGACCTGGCGAAGCTTTCCTACTCCTACCTTCCACACAATCTGACCCAACAAGGTCAACAGGACAATGGCGATGGCGAAGAGAACCATCATTACTTTGAGTTCTTTCGCTCCATGTTCTTCCTCCTCATCTTCTTCTGATGTCCCAACAGAAATCATGGCAGCCAAAGTGATCAGCTTGACTGCAGTGGCGGCTTGAGATACTTTGAACGCATTTGATGCCTTCTCTTTTTGATCTTCTCCAACTTCCTTCTTCGTTTCTTTTTCTTCTTTTGATTCATCTGGTCTTTGTGCCATGCCCAGCAAACCCTTGAGCTTGTCAATGCGGTTGGAAGACAGCGCCTTTGTGCCCAAATCGGCATTCAGCTCCTCGCCTGGGACATGACCAACTGCCCAATCCCCGGAAAGGACTGCCTGCCGGGCATATGATGCCCTCATTCGAAGATGGCGTGTGCGCCAGCTCCCGCCCTCACTTGACAAGATGGACAAAGCTGACTGGCTGTCTGACCAGGCAATCTTTTTCACATCATCAAACAACTCATACAGGATGGTGGCCACTGATTCTCCTGCATTCATGGCCTCGATGATTTCGTTCAACTCTGCTTCAGCTGTGGATAAGGTGATTGAGGCTTGACGCCCCGAGCGCCACAGCAATGCAGAGTCGTTTACCATGACTGTGAAGCAGCCATGTGATTCTTCTCCTTCTGGTGCAAACGATGCATCTGACCAAACTTGTATGACCACCTCCTTCTCTTTTCCTTCTTCAAACTTCAAACCTTGATCCCATGTTCCCCTCAAATAGTCTCTTGTTTGTTCTGCTGCCTCCAAAACTTTGACTGTGGACTTTGTGACATGTGCCCCCATGCGTGAAATGGTGTACATGATGTCGGGACGTGTTCTCGTCACCAGCCACAGCAGCTCGCCAACTTCGCGTTGACATTGGCGAACTCGTTTGAGATCTGGAGGTTGTGAATCCTCCTCCATGATGGCAAGATCCCTTGAGATTGGAATCTTTCGAATCCTCTTTTCTTTTTCTTCTTTTCCTTGATCATATCTTTCAAGCAAATCTTTGATGTAACCACTCTGAGTTACAAACCACTCAGAGCGCTCTCTCTCTTCAGACCAGATCTTTTCCACCTCCATGCCTAGAAAGCGTGTTGGCTTTTCTGACACCTCCTCTGGATTGGATGTCGTCCATGTTTCTTGAAACTTCGCAGTGATGGCTTCCACCAGATCGCCTTCTGCAGCGATGAAGACATCATCAACGTAAGTCATCACCAGTCCAAGGATTCTGCCATTGGACAAAGAAGCCAGCTCATCCTCTTCCTCCCCCATGACCTGCACAACTTTCCAAAGATTGGGTTCAGATCCCATTTGAAAGAGCTTGACCTCGATGTTCTTTCCTTCTTTTTTCGCATTGATGACAAACTGGTGCATACGATGATCTCGATGCCTCCCCCACAATCTTGGTGACCTGCGAAAACCATAAATCGCTTTGACAGGGAGATAGACGGTGTTGGGTGCGAGATAGCCCTTCTCAATCATGATGTGTGGAGGACGAATCAACAAAAGGTTCTCTTCCTCGGTGAGTTCCAAATCAGCATTCAAAAATGCTGTTCTCACGTCAATGATTTGAGCCCTCCATTGAAACTTCCCGCAGCACCAAATGAGAATGCGAAAAGCTGTTGCATCAGCTCCTCCGCTGTAGTTCTCTTCTCCTTTCTTTTCTTCAAAATTCCCGCACACAACCCATCTTGTTTTCTTTTTCCCCCCTTTTTCACCTGCCTTCACCACATGGACCAATTTCGACGGTATATATTCTACCCGCCGTCCTTCTCTCTCTGCCTGTTGCTTCAGCTCCTCATGTTCTTCTGCTGTCAGCTCTTTGAGGGCCTGCTTGTCTTTTGTCAGCGACTGAACTTCGCTGTCCACAGATTCCAGCCATTCCCCCCACTTTCTTGAAACCTCCTTGGGTGAAATGATCTTTGTTTGGAGTACTTCTTCTGACTCCTCTATCGCTGTTGCAATCTTCCGCAGCCTTGCAACAGCGTGTATGATTCCAGATGCAACTTCTGGATCTTCATCAACAATTCCTCTCATCTCCTCCTCAATCACTGCATAGATCTGTTTCACCTCTTCTTTCTTTTTCTCTGTTTCTGTATCTTCCCCTTCTTGATCCAACGTAGGATGAACCCTCCTCACCGCAGTCTTTCCTCTCAGCCTTCTTCTTGTGCTCCATGGATCCACTATGCGTCCTTCAAGCGCTATCCATGCGCCTTCTTCAACCGGCTCTGTGGTCTTCTCCATGATGAACTTGGTGACTCGTGGAGGTTCTCCCTGCTTTTGGACCCAGTGCCCATGATCCTCTGTCGAGGGGCACAGGTAGTGGACACGCTCGACCACTGGTTCGAAGGCTCCTCTTCTCCATGTTCTTTTCTTGACTCTGACTTCTTGGTAAAATGGGTGCAGCTTGGTTGAATGCCCTTCCTCACACACCGGTTGAGCTCATCCACATAGCGCAGAGCCCAAGGCCAATGTGCTGAATCAAGGCCTGCTTGTCGAAGTGTCCTCCTGATTTGGGACTTGATGGCCTTCACTGCTACTTCGGCCCGTCCGTTTCCCTGTGGATCGTCTCCTGCTGTCTTGGTGACATAGATTCTATGCCTCTGCTTCTAGCCCACCTTTTGAAGGCTCCTTCAAACTCATGGCCTCTGTCGCAGTGAATTCGGCCTATGTGGAAGCCGTCCGCCCGGAGCCGCAGCACAAACTCCATGGCTGTCGCGCTCACTTCTCGGGCCGTTTTGGTGATCATGGGTAGGGCTAACCTGAATACCCTCACCTCAGTTGTTTCTTCAAGGTCTTCTGGCCCTTTTTCTTCGGGTGGCGCCACGAGGCGGACTGGGTCTCCTCCACCCAACCCCAACTCAGCGGCAGCTTCACCCGGGAGCGGTGCAGCGAGGCGGACTGGGTCTCCTCCACCCAACCCCAACTCAGCCACATCATCGCTCCGCGGCGGGGCAGCGAGGCGGACTGGGTCTCCTCCACCCAACCCCAACTCAGCCGCCAACTCACCGCCTGGTGCCTGATTGTTGTCAGCACCCATTGGTGGCAAATCGCCAAAGATTCCATCCTCCAGGGCCTCTTCTTCTACATCTTCTTTGTCTTCGATCTTCGGCTCATCTCCTTCTAAGGGCTCTTGTGCCGGCTGCTTCAACTTCTCCAGATCTTTTGGCACCCTCCATGTCAATGCTCCCACCAAGAAGTACCTTGCCATTCCTCCTCCTTGGTCGTAGGCACCAATCAAAGGGCCTGCCGTGTCGATGGAGAGCACTCCTCCAATCACGTGGCGCGTCTTTCTGTGTGGCGCGCATTGTTGATTTGTTTCTTGGCACACTCTGCAATCTCTTCTGTATGGGATGTGCCCACATGCTATGTGCTCCTGCCAAGAGAGCTGTTTGATCTTTGGATCCATCTTGTAGACCTGCTTCATCAACTCGGTCGCCAGCATCCTCATCAATGCTGGAGGCCATCTTGACAACTCCTTTGAGCTTTTCACTCTTTCTGGGTGACGTCGATCGCCAGTCTTGTACTCCCCCACCGTGAGCTTGAGGGAACCTCCAAAGGTCGTCGGCTTTGGTGACTTTCCTCCAAGACTTCCTTGTTCGAACGTCTCCTCAAACCATCCAAACTCCTTCTTCAGCTTGTGCCATTCCTTTGTATCCCAAAAGCTCACAACCTCTGGCTTGTAGCTCTTTGGACTGGCAGGTTGTTCCAAACTGAACAACGGATCTTTCGTTGCTCCTCTCGCTCTTGCTGCATATGTTGGCACCATCTGCAGAAAGAGCATCCTCCACATCAGCAGGTCATCTCCTCTGACTTGTTCTCGTTCTTGATCTGTCAGATCCTTCTTTCCAAACTCTTCTCCGCCCCACTGCCTCACTGGTCGCGGAGCTTCTGGATGTCCTTCAACTGGGATGTGCCTGAGCACACTTCTTGTTCGACAGTTCGGGCCTCCAATGATGGCTCGAATCTTCCCTTCTAATGCCGTCCTCATCAGCCCCCCATAGAGCTTGGACTTCAAAAGGTTTTGTTCTTCTCCTCTTTCTACATCAACTTCTAACAACTGCCAACCTTCTCCTCCAACTTGATGCCAAGCTCGATGAAGTGTGAAGCCTTGATCAGGACCTGCAAACAGATGAAGAAGATAGCCATCTCGCTTCATTCGTTTTCTCATCCTTTTGTTGCATGGTAGGTGATTCCATTCTCCAACTTCGCATTTGAGGCCTTCTTGAATCCAAGACGGCAAAGAAGACAGCACTGGGTGTTCTTTGATCAGCCTTTCCAACCATGCCTCTTCTTTGGTGAAATCGGATGCCACCTCGCCAATGCATAGCTTTTTGTCCTCAATCTCCTCAATGAGCTGAAGAGCCAACTGACGTGATACCTGTGGGCATCCTTCACTTTGTTTGATCGGCAGCTTGCCAATCTTTGGATGGATGACTGTGATTCCACCCTCTTCCCATGTAGCTTTGCAGCCCAGAACGCCAATCAGCAAGCCCATCGGAACGATCGGCTCAATGTCCAAATCAGGACTCACCAGTGTGCCTCCACGGGTGATCGCCAGTTGAGTCTTTCCACCATTGGCCAACGCCACTTCAACTTGACGGTAGCTGGTGGTCTCCTCCCCCGGCTTCAGTGGTCGTAGTGGATTTGTCGCGCCAGAGTCCAACAGTCCCTGCACTCCTCCACCTGCCAACCTTCTCAATCTCAATGTCTTCAGCCTCAACGCATTCAGCTGCTGCTGCAGCCGATCCATCACTTCTTCCTTTCCTTCTTCTTCTCTGCTTGTTGATGCTGTTGTTGTTGAGCTGCTGGATGTGGTGTTTGCGCTGGTAAGACTTTTCAACATCTTACTGGCTTCCTCCATCAACTCCTTGATGCTTGCCTCACTTCCTGCTACGCTTGAGCTTTCCACATCCTTCTGAACTCCTCCTTTTCCTTCGCCTTCTGTCTTCAGAACCCTCGCCCTTGTTGGACTTCCATCTGTAGAGCCCTTTGGACGACTGCAGTTTGGGGAGAAGTGATCAACTGCTCCACAAGTCCAGCACCTCTTCTTCTCATCCTTGAAGTCGTGCGAAAACCCGCACAGCTTTCCCTTCTTGCATCCTCCATCTGACATGTAAAACTTGCACCTCGGCCTGCCTTGACCTTCTTCTTGACCTCGTTCTTGACCCTTACCTTTTCCTTTGTCTTGCTTCTCTGTTTCCAGGGACTTCAGCTTTGGACCTTCAACTTTGGGAGCTCCTCCAGAACGTTTTTCGGTCAAAGCAACCTGGTCCAATTCGGCCAAGAGATGGGTGGCAAACCGGCTGACGGTCAGCTCAGTGGGAGATGTATCAACTCCAAGGCTTGATCTCGCCAGCTGTATGCGAAACTGCAAGTCTTTGTGGCTTTCTAAAACCTTTCTTGTCATCTTGTTCAAACCCTTGAGAAGTAATGCCGCATCTGGCACCACCGCCCCTATCTCCACTGTTCGTGTTTTCCACCTCAGCCACTTCCTCAATTCTGCTGCTGCTTCAACCAACTGGGATACTTCCGGTGGCTCCTCCAAGTTGCGCAAAAGCATCTGTTTCTCCATGACTCCCCCAGGACAGTAGGTGAGGAAGAGGTGTGTGAGGATGCTGAACACTCCAACTTTTCGTCCAGCCACCAATTCATCCCGCACCCCTTCTGGTACTGCCTGAAGAAGCATAGTTGACATCCTCCTTTCCAGTCTTTGCCACCGATCTTGAACCAGCTGAGGAGGAGGCTTGACTTCATGAGAGATTCGATCCAAAGGGTTCATTGACATATGCTGCTGATACCAAGTCTCAACTGCCTTGGTCATTTCGCCCCACCATTCTTGGCTTGTGGTGGACATGTCAGCAGCAACTGGTTCGATCATCAACAACCAATCTCCTAGTTGTAGAGGTCCTTGTGCTGGATTGCATTGTTGAAGGGCTGGCAACTCCATGACACCAGTCCGAACCACTTCCACACCTCGGACCATTCCAGCCTCCTCTCGTGGCTCCAGCATCTTCTTTTGCATTTCCTTCATCGACTCCATCATCAGCGCCATGAAGCCAAGCGATCGCTCTGCAAAGCTTTCACTACTGCTTGACTCCTTCTGTCCTGTTCCTTCTTGGCCAGAATGACGCTGTTCTTCACTTCCAAACCTCCATGGAAACATGACCGCTTCACTTTGGGGGTCTGCAGCCTCCTTGGAAAAGCTTCGGGCTTCTCTTTGGTGGTCTCCGGCCTCCTTATAAGAGCTTCGGGCTTCCCTTTGGGGGTCTGCAGCCTGACTTCGGGGAAACATCTCAGCCTCCTTTTGGGGGTCTGCAGCCTGACTTCGGGGGGGTATCTCAGCCTCCTTTTGGGGGTCTCCAGCCTGCTTCAACTTTCGCGGATCCTCTTCTGGTGTCGAAAACTTCGGATCAGCTTCTTTCTGCTTCTCCTGAGCTTCCAACTTTTGCATCAGCCTACGATTCTCCTCAAACAGGAATTTCATGGACTGTCTCATTTCTTCTCTTTCTAGTTGATCTTGCATCAAACGCTCTTTCAACCTCTCCATTTCTTGATCTCTGTTCTCAGATGCTTCTCTAGCTCTGAGCTCCTCTTGTTCTAAAAACTGTGAACGCTGCAAAAATGGAGAAAATGCTGATCGAGGTTGTGTGTACAGCCATGGTGCTTGCGAAAACAATCCAGTGAAATGTTGAACCTGTTCAGGAGTGAAGAGTGGCTCAACTAACGACCCTACACTTCTATCTCTGTCCCCCTCCACTGCAGTTCCCAAACGCTCGCTCGGTGACACTTTCTGCTGAGAGCCACCTGCACTTTCCTTAGATCTGTCCTTGGTGTCTGCAGGGGTCTTGATGCCTGCTGACGCTTGGTCCTCCGATGGAACTTCTGGCGGATCCACTGGAGGCATTGTCGGTGGACGGACTGCTGACCCGGAAACTGGATGGGCACCGGATGGACTAGCTTTGGGGGTTCCTTGAGAATTCTCCAAACTACCATCTTCTATTGGTGGTGCACTTACACCTTCAGCTCCCTGATCCCTTCCACCTCCTACACTTTGTTGATCCTCAAGCGGAAGTTCACCTCTAACCTCTGCCTCTCTTTGCATGCGTTCTTGCGCTTGTTGCATCTCAGCCTCACCTTGGTTCAACTCTTCTCTAGTTGCTCTTCTTCTCCTTTGCATGTTTGCCATGTCTTTTCCCAATTCAAGCCGTTGGGCTCATAACCTACTGACGTAGTCAAGTAGGTTCGGCTATGTAGAAATGGATAAACTTGTTACTCTTCTCGATTTGTGCCCTTCCAGCTCCTCCCACAGCACGAACCTTCGGCCTTTCTGCCAAGTTGCGTTCTTGAGTCTCAAAGGGGCAGCTATGGACAGCTGCATGAATGGATATGCAAATTGGTGCAAATTGAAAGTTGACATGTCAATGCATCATGCTTATGACAAGTCATGGAAACAATGGGTGACATCAGCATGTTTAAACTTCAAATCAATTCTGACCCATTTTCATCCATTTTTTGCCACCTTTGGCCAGCTTCCACGACTAGGACGTTTTTGCACCTCTCCGCGGGCTTGGTGTTGGCGCAGCTCAATCCAGGGCAGCTATCACACAAGACCAGATTGCTGTCTTGCGAGGCGAGATCTTCACGTCAGATTCATGTCATTTCAGAGTCATCTCTGTTGTTTGGAAATGGTTGATAAGATGTTGCGATATGTTGCGATGTTATTCCAGGGACGGGGTGCCCCGTCATTGCAGCGGGGTCACCTTTAGCGCATCTCAGCTGAAATCGTCTCCGTGTCCACTGCGCCAGGTGTCGCGTCTGCACCGGTGAAGCCTGATGTTGCCAGCAAGTTTATGAGAGCTCTGAGAGATCAATACATAGATGGCGGCATGCTCAGTCAGTTTCAAGACCTGGCATATTCAGACTGGAATATCCTGGCCAGTCTCCTTGGCATCCTTGTAGGACGTTTTATATACTTTTCAAGATGGACCCTGTGCTGTGAGACGCACGTTTGAGGTCAAAAGGGCTCCGTGGACAAATTCATGACCCGCCGCGGGCCAGACGAAGAGGGTGATGATGGAAACCTTTACGAAGGTGCCGCAAGAGTCGCACTGAATACTAGTTATAATTATACTAGTTCATCTAGTTCATGATATAAGTTATAATGATGTATTAACGATAAGAGATCGATTGTGTTTGGAGGAGTTGAACTTGAGAGGGCCCCTTTCATTCAGACATGGCTATATCCACAGAGTCTGTGTCTGTTTGCCATTTGCGAAGGCAGCTACTTGCTGAGCACCGATGAGCAGAGATTGCTCAAGCCCTTCATTCAGCGCCGCCAGCTTAGCCCAATCCAACTCCTTGCAACTCTTGCAGATTTGGGCCGGCTGTCCTAAGATGCACAGCATACAAGGCATGGAAGAGGCGCAGGACAAGCAGAAAGAGTACAAAGAAATCGAACATCGATGGAATGTGAAAGCTGCCGAAGACGAGCAAGAAGACCAAGGCAACTCAAAAGCTGTGAGTGGCCAGATTTTGTTGAATCACAATGAATCACATATAACTTTCTCGTCGCGTCGTTTCGCTATTGCAGTCAAGGTAGAACTTTCATGGTGCCTTCGGGCACGACATGGCACGACATGGCACGCCATGGCATGACATGGCGGCATGACTCGCTCCAGGCTTTTTGGCAGGTATCTTTGGCGAGAGCAAAGAGAAGGCCGAGGAGACTCCGGGCCAAAGCGCAGCTCCGCCGCAGGTGACGCCGGCACCTCAAGGAAAGCCCAAGCCGAAGCCAAAGGCCAATCCCCAGAAAGATCAAAAAGCTGGAAGCGATGACAGCAATTGAGTGGCCTTTGTCTGAGCCATTCTGAGCCTTCTTTTTGAACTGATTTTGCGATATTTTGCGATATTTTGCTTAAATGCTCATGTTCATAGATGTTCATAGTAAGTCACATTAACAGGAACTCTTTGGAATCCCAAAGGGATGACCAAGGGATGCATGCTCAACCGCAGCGTGCCATGCAGTGTTTAGAAAACGACAGAATGCATAGCGTGGGGATGCGTGGGGTGTGACGTGAGCGGAAGAGTGCCAAGTTCTCGTGGATAGCATGTGGACATTCAGGATATTGAGCCAGCCAGCTACTGCAATCTGACGCTCTTGCACCGATCGGCACCTGAATCCCGCTCAAGGATCGTCCAAACATCGTCGCCACTGGCTGCCATGACGGGCAGGCAATGATCCACTCACTTTTTCATTTTCATTACCTTCTTTTACTTCTTTCTACACTTACGTAGTTAAAGAACATCTTGATGGCAACTAGTGTGACTCCAATGATTGGGCTGACCTCGTAGCTTTTGATCGCTTTGCCGCACCTTTGACCTCTTAGAGCTCTCATTGGTTCATGGCTGGAAAGACGACCAGTTGCCAGGCACGAATATACCGCCTTAAAACTGGCAAGCCATTGGTTGCTTGACTGCGCTTTCATTGGGTACTTTCCACAGCCACCTTGGAGCTCGACCCCTTTTGAACCCATTTCATTCCGTACTCTGACAGTTTCTGTTTTGCTTGTCCAAGTGATTGTGATTTGAGGTAGTGACTGGAGGCTATCAGGGAGAGAGATCGACTATATATATAATCGATCATAGTATGTTGAACCCAACATGGAGCACACTGATTTAATACCTTGGGTTGTGGTGGATCATGGTGGATCCCTTCTTTACCACCAACTCAGATCAGCATTCGTCATGATGCGACCAACCGCGATGCTGTTCACTCGGTGAGCCTAACGCCTGGCACCCAAAAGAAGTGTTGCTGATGCAGGGCCATTGACTCGCTTAACCATCCCACAGCTACAAATTATGTTAGATTGTGTTTGATGGTATCAGCACACACACATTTACAATTTACACATAATTTATACACAAGTATAGCATTCATATAGCCATGGATCCAATGGATCTATCATCCATCCAATTCTTTTTTGTGTCCTCTCGCATCTCCGCATGACCAGTGCCAAGGCAAAGTGCAGCTGGCCCGCGCCTGCTGACTGGAGCATGGGATGGCCGATGGCATGAGTGGAATTCATGGCCCAGTCAGCCAGGGCCCATGGACGTGGACCAATGAAGCCTCCCGGGCCTCCCCAAAATTGGATCATGTCATGTCAGCGCTGGCGACAGATTCCTCATGAATGCATTTCAGACCTTCTCGATATGCCATAGAATGGCATGGAAAGAGATTTCGTAATCGCAACAGTGCTGTTTGTAAGCCAGTTTGCCACAAAGGCCAGCGCGGCCTTCGGAGTTGTGGGCTCAAGACAAGGGTTGCACGCTGTGTGGCGGGTTCGTCTCTTTTATTGCTAAGTGTCCCAACATTAATTCAACATACGTATGTGTGAAAGGAACCTCCAGCACTTAGGTCAACATTTGTTTAGAATGAAGCTGCTATGACCGAGGGGAGACGTGTTGTGTTAAGAATGCCAAGTTTGGATCATGCATTTGGTGCAGAAAGTGGAATCAATGTGGCACATTGATATCTATTGATGTCAACCATTGTCAAGCCTTCAGTCTTGTGAGCACATGCTGTGGCTTTGAGCTATAAGCATATGTAGCCCAGGTTTCTCCGGGGTGAGCCAGGGGTCAGCCCGAAGCTTGGAACACGCAAGAGCTGGTGGCACTGTTGCACCGCACTGGGAGATCCAAGGTCATGAGAATCAAGTCACATCCTTGGCCGTCAGCCGTGATGGGAATTACCTCGTGTGGTGGCCCAGCCAAAGGTCAGGATGGCTACATTGGACCTGTACGCTGCGGATGCGTTGCGTCTATGTGTTTTTGTGCCTGGAAACTCTGGTTGCTCCGCGAACGAATGGAGCAGCATCGCTCCATTCGACAAACCTATCAAACATATAACATATCATAACATATCCATAAATAAATAATATAAATATAGAATACTGTATAATATGTAATAGTAATAATAATATGATAATAGTAGTAATAATAATAGTAAGAACAATGGTAATATTAATAAGAATGATAATGATAATAATGATAATCGTGTGACCCTTGAATTAATGGAGAGTACAGATTCTTTTTTTTATATAATGGATTCATTGCGTCGACCCTCAGTTCTCCAAAAGAAATGAGCGCCGCAAATTGAATGCTCCCAGGCGTGCAGCTGCACTGCTGGCAAGATCGTGGTGTACAGGCGCAATTGCCCGTACGGACTCCAAGCACTTGATGCCAGGCACCTCATTGGTGGGGATGGGTCAGTTCCTGACCATCTGGAATGAACTAACAGGCAACTATATAAACAGCAGCAGCTGACCATGCAATACGATGTAATACGCCCATCTCAGGGGATGACTCATGCCTCGATTATTTTGTGGTGCACCTAACATAGAGGACACTTAGTAGCGCTTGGACCAGCCCCCCATAGAAGGCGTTTTGAGCCATTTTGAGCCCTCAACGGAGTATTTTGAACTGATTCGCAGGTTGCTTGACTGCGGTGGCCGAGGATACGTCAAATCGAGCTGAATGACTTCGAGGATGTCGTGGAGTTGAAGGATGTGAGGGGCTCCAAACACATTCTCACCTGCACTGGAAACTGTTTGGGCACTCTTTCGGTTTTCTATGGTTTTCTTTAAACGTGTTGTGTTTCAGCGGGTTTCATTTGACCGTCGACCGTTTCGATTGTCAGCGGTTGGGCACACCCTGGGCTCTGAGTCTCTAAAGCTCGGTGATCACGGAGAGTTCGTGGTGCAAAGGCGTGCGCACCTCAGCATCAAATGTTCCGATATGTTTCATATGTTACAGTGATCTACCGAACCTACCGTAACGGTGCGACTAGAGGAGCTGCGACTTGAGACATGTTAAGTTGCAGAGCCTTCCATGTCCTCCAACTTTCCGTACGTCAAAGATGTGGAAGTCAGGAGAATCACTACTCTTTGCATCTCTTTGCTTAGATGTATTGAATCTTCTGTGAGCGCTCCGGCACCTAGATGTCATTGCAAGAAGCAGCCTTCCATTAAGACCGATCAGGTTTAGAGCTTGCGGGTGGCAACATGCTAGTGGAGCCTCAGGTGAGAGCGCCCACGGATGTTCAACCTAGACTCAGTGTGCCTAATTTCAAGGATTGATTGACTGCAATTGCCTTGGGTGGCGGAAATGAATCTGCCGATGGTTAAGCAATTGTGCTGCCCCTTTTGCTTCAATGCAGGAGCAGTTGTTGCCGGAGGCGAGCGTGGAAGGCTTCAAACGACGATCGGCGCTGGTTTGCTCCCAAGCTCACCAGCTCGCGCACTTGTCTCACAATGGGGGGGGTCCAAAATGAGTGGCTTTGGGTGGGTCCAAATGATCCTCCGGCCTTTTCTCACAATCACTTGGGTGCTGTTGATTGAACGAGCAAGAGCTCCTCCTAATCTCATATGCAAATCGCGTCAATCTGCGTTTTGACACTAGAACGGACTAGTCTTGTCGATGTTGCCAGTGTGCTTGCATTCAATTCATTTCAATCCTATCCATCCACATTACATTTTCCATCATTTTCCATATTTATTTCCTTTTTCTGCTGCACATGTGGCACATGCATGCACATGCACATGCATGAACATGCCACAAGTCCCCCTCTTTTAAAGCAGAAATTCCCTATACTACTGGTAGTACCACAAAGGATCAATACCACTCATCATCCCATACGATGTATGCGTTCCCACCTCTCCCTCGCCACATATACACCTCTCTCTCTTCACATATACACATACACCTGTCTCTGTCTTTCTTTTAGCACTCTTAGAGTCTGTCTCATGTTAGTCACTGTCAGTCATGATGAGAGTGTTGCATACCTTTGCACTGCATGTTTGCGTCACCACAGGATGATGTCGAAGTTCCAGCCACATTCAGATTTCGCTTTGTCGGAGCCTCGGGTCTTGTGAGTATGGAAGGGCAGGCTATGTCGGGTACGTCTTGATTTGAGCCAGGTTGGTTGCCTCACGCATGGCTTGCGCAGAGCCTGGCGGAATCTTAGCCACGCTGGAAGCTCAAAATAATGAAATGCAAGAAGTTCTGGTAAACATTGATTTACATTGACTGCGGTTGACAGTCCCTTGAGCATCCTTTGGCCAGAAGAATCACCACAATGGCTGTTGCTGACCTGTCGAGCCTTCAGGATGGTGCCGTGCTGTGCATGATGATGGATGTCGAAGGCCCCGGCACCGTGGAAGTTATCCACGGCAGTTGTCAGCGAATGGTGCAGTAACTCACTGGTATAAATTGAATGCCGTTAGGCTCGTCCGAAGTGCTCTATTCCGGCTCACGCTTCTGGGTTGCAAGGTAATTGACAAATGCCAAGCTGGACCGGCACAGTATATATTACTGTCGCTGTGTGCTTGTATTGTCTGACCTGGCTCCCAGCGGCAGTTGTCAGTATTTGAAGCAACTGAGGTGATCGCCACGTTCGGAAATGGCTGGGATCTTGTCACCAGATGTCACCAGATGTCACCAGATAACCACCCACAGCACGAAGCCTGTGGAGCTTTTAGAGTAGTTGGAGCCGTTGCTAGCTGTGAGGGATCCAAGATTGCAGACCAAGGTCTTTGTATGATGGAAGCCTTTTGCTCAAGTACTCTGGGCTTGGCACTCAGAGGCACAGGGGTGCAATCCACGATGAATGGGATCGGCAATTCCATGCAACAAAGCAACAGTGGATCGCAATCCGCAGTTTGTACCTGTTTTTTTCTTCACAATTAGGAGATTTAATTTAATTATATTTAATTTATCAATAGATTTAGCCAGATGATCAGCTAGCTGCAGAGTTCTGAGTCTTGGAGGGCCGCATGAATTTGCGAATTC